CTTTGTTTCTGGATAACCTGCTGACTGCTGTGCTTTGATCTATCATATTTGCAGTGGCTATCAACACTCTCCTGTCATCTCTCCAATTTCCTGGGTTTCATTTTCTCTGTGTTTTATTTTACACTGTTTTTTTGTTACTGAGTTCTGGGGCATAGGCGGGCAGAATTTTGTGCCCATGTACCTATCAGTATGAATTTTTTTTTTTCTCATAGACTCAAAACTTGGCTCAAATCATTTTTTTCTTCTTCAGAATTCAGTCATTTTTCTTCCACTATTGCTGTCCTGAAGAAGTCTGTCGTCATTTATACGTGTTGTTTCTCTCTGGAATTTTCTGATCTTTATCCCCAGTGTATTGATGATGAACCTGTTTGTGCTTCTATGTATTTTTACATAGAAGTGTAACCATTCTTTAATCTGATGTAAGCATTCTTTAATCTGGAATGCATAGATTTGGTTCTTGGAAAGCCGGGAATTTTCTTCCTCAGGGTTTCCAATTCTCTTTCTAGAACTCTGTATAATTTGATGTTGGATTTCCTTCTACAGTGATTCTCAAATTTAAGCATACATGAGGATCACCTGGGGCACATTGAAACTGTTTTCTGGGGCCCAGCTCCTGAGTTTCTGATTGAGTAGAATTCAGTTTCTGAATTCCATGGATGCAAGTAGAATCAGAGTTTCTGATTCAGTAGCATCTGTGTTTCATTTTCTCTTCCATATCAATATCTGACTTTCATACTTTTATTCCTTTTTCCGTCTCTGCCTTACTCAAATTTCTAGCTGGATTGCACCCTTTCTAGTTGGATTGTTTGACCCTGTCAGGGAGGTCTCCTCCAACTTCTAAAATGGCACAGCAGGCACCAGACCCACAGACACACCCACTTGCTCTGAGCTTCAGCCCCTTAGTGTTGCCCTCTTTCCAGAGTACTTCTAGAGCACCATACCATTTACTTATTTATATGATCTCATTTGTTGTTCTTCTGCCCCACTAACATGTAAGTCTCACAGTCAGGGAATTTACTCTGGTTTCTTCTCTGCTATAGTCTCAACTCCCAGGATATTACTTGAAAAAATAGTAAGCATCCAGTAATTATTTCTTGATGAATTTCTTCAACTTTATCTTACAGTATTCTTACTACTTTTAAAAATCATCTAAGTCACATTTTTAATTTCTATGGTCTCTCGTTTGTTCTCTAAATGCTGCTTTTCTGAGTGTCTTGTTTCTTTTTATCATGAATTCAATACATTTATATTGATTTTAGAGTTTTAACAATCTTGTTTTCCTCTCTGCCCTCTTTTTCCTTCTTTCTCATTCTTTTTTGCTCTTGTTTGTTTTCTTAGCAGTTCTTCAGGGGAGAGGGTTTTCTAAAATATATACACATACTTGCTGTGCTTTCTATTTAAGACTGAGACCTTCAAAAGCCAACTTGAGTGACATATGCTTGGGCAGGGATTGTCAGCTGGTGATTGATCAGGTGACCCATCTATTCCATGTAGGAACCTCAGCTGTCAGCATAGGTTGTGTTATTTTTCTTGGGCCACTTTCACTAAGGAAGAATTTTCCTCCCTGGAGACTTATAAGACTGACACTTGGTATCCTAGAACACGGGCAAAGGAAGAGAGTCAGGTGATCCACACAGCATATGCACTTCTGCCTAACATGGTAGGCACCTCATTTCATCTCTCAGCCATGCCTAGCATGGTGCAGTCTGCAGTTCCCCTGGCCTGGTTTAGTTGACACCTCTTCTATGGAGAAAGGGTGGTTGAATTCATTGGCCCTGGCATGATTCAGTTCAGTTTTTTTCCTCCACCATTCAGGCACCACGCAGAATAGAAATGATGAAAAACAGTCTTCCGTCCCACCTGTGTGCTTTGTACAAGCCTTCAGTAGCACTTAGGCCAGTAAATTTTAGTTGTTTGTGGCATTGTGTATAAGGTGGTATGTTTCTGAAATGTAAGCATTTAAAACATTTAACCAGTGGCTGGAAGCCCCAGAATTTGACCCCAAATTAAAGATTTAGGTGTCTGTGCTTTGTGAAGAGAGTGCTCCCAGTGAAATCAATACAGAATCAGGAAAGGCAGAGGAACCTAAGCAGGATAGCACAGAAGAGTATGCATGGGGGAAGCTTACTCATCCTGAGTCCCCAGGAAGCTCTGCATCACACCTTTATGCCTCCAGGCAAAGGAGGAAGGTTTTTTCTACCCCCTGACTAAGTAAGAGGTTGGCTAAGGAATGTGATGATATGGGAGGAGGATGGGAGCAGTGCAAAAATCTCCCAGGTGCTCCTAGCTCTCAGTACTGGCAAGCGGACTTCATTGCCTAACTAGAACACTCTGAAGGGCTTGCACGTGAGTCAGTACTTGCAAAGCACAGGCAAGCTGGAGGAGGGGTCCGTGAGCTGATGACACTGATCCCAGGAAAGCTGAGCAGGCACAACTGTGTCCATTAAACCTTTGTGTCTTCCCCAGACCATCATTAAATAAAGGAATGGTAATTCCTCATAATTATAAAACATGTCACCGTTTACAGTGTGTTTCCTTTTCTTGTTGCAGTTGCTTGTTGAAATGATTTTATGAGAAGTGTATTATTATCTGTATTTTTCAAAAGAGTCATATAAGACAGAGATTAAGTAATTTTCTAATGTCTTCAGATTCTGAGCCTAGAGCTCATTCTAGCACAGATACATCATATTTAAGTTTTATAAATATTTTATATAGAAATTAGACGCATGTAAATATGAGTTGTTTACTGAGAAAGAATAATTATGACTTTTATAATTTAAAAATATGCAAGAAATATAAAGGGTAGACTATTTTTTTAATTTTAAAATTATTTACTAATTACATAAGAAAAAGCTGGGTCAAGTAGCAAGTTCATATTAAAGTGTCTTTTAGTTTAATTCTACCATCATTCAAGGCTTCTACCACTGTTTTATTTCTTAGTTGGTTTAATTAAAGCCAGTGTGAAAGAAATATATTAAAAGGTTCCTAGAGCACTGCTAGAGGTAGATTCATTTAGAATATCCTTGGAGTTCTTCCATAATTTTCCCATGTGATCCTATTTGCATATAATACTTAATGACTCAACATTTCTGCCAAAGTATGAATCTTTTTCCAAAGATATTTCCGGTTACTCTTATAGACTGTCACTAATACTTCAGATCCTTTCTTCTTCAGTACAGGTATAATTTATCCATAAAGAATATGCTTTTGCTCAGTGTGGCACACACCTGTAATTCCACCTACTTGAGAGGCTGAGACAGGAGGATGGCAAATTCAAGGACAGTCTCAACAACTTAGCAAGACCCTATCTCAAAATAAATAATAATAAGGGCTGAGGATGGAGCTACTTGTCTCTCAGTGCTTTGATCAATTCAGAGAAGTAGAGAAGAAGAAGTCTACCCCATGGATTTCCTCTCAGCTAAATAGCTCCTCTTGCCTTACATCCTCCTCTGTAACTTGAACCCTTTATCCTTGCTTTTCAAACTGTCAGCACATTAAAATCACCTTGGGAGCTGGAAAACATACACATGTTATCTGTTGAATCAGACTTGTAGGCATTGATAATAGTTTAAATCTCCTCCTGTGAATCTGTCTTGAAGCCAGAGTTGAAAACACTTATAAAAAAAACACAGGAAATGAGCAGACTCACTGGTGAGAGGGAACAGGTTTTCAATTCCTTTTAAGGTGAGTATTTCTCATTCATTTTGGTATTTTATATATGCCTGGTCCACCAACATCTTTAGGTCACAGTGGGTCACAGTGCCTGACATATCTTACCTAAGCCCCAGGAGCATTTGTTTGGTAGAATCTGAACTTATTAGAAAAAGAAACTTTGTACCTTATAGAACCTAAGAAGCAGAACTTCACTTTGCCTCAGGGCAACCCAGCTTAGGTTCTCAGGAACAGCAATCATCTGTATTTTCAACTTACCCTTTTTATCTACTTTCAACTATCCTCATAATCTGTTCGCTGATTTCAAATTTTGCCTAACAGATTTCAGCCCAAGCCATCAATTACAATGCTTTTAGATAAATAAGTTCCTAGTGCTACCCTAAAATTTGTGGATTATTTGTCCAAAAAAATCTGTATTTTTACTTTTTAACTTCCTTCCTGGGTAACACAGAAAGCTCATTTCAAAAAACTAAGACTCTTAATGAATTTGCTATTTTTTCAAGAGTGGAGGGAAGAATGAGAAATACTGTGACTTTATTATATCATTCCCTTCGACTTTGGAAATGCACACACATCCATCCCTGTCGCGACCCCTTGCCCGCAAGGAAGACGCAACTCAGGAATCTTCTTTCAGCAGTTTATTCAGGCCCTTCATATTTCTTCTTCTCCCTCTCAGATGCCCCTCCCAGCCTTAATAAAGCATCTCAAGCCCCAATGCGAAGCTGCCACGTGGAGCTTTCTCATAGGGTGGTGAAAAACCATGCGCCAACTCTCCCAAATAAGGAGTTGTTTGTCACAGACCACAGCGGAGCCAGCTCCATCTTGTAATGGCGACCATAGTCTGCAGAAACGGCAGAAGCGGCTCACCACAGTTCCCCCTTTCTGTTTTCTTAAAACAATACAGGCGAGAGTAGAGGTCCTATCCCACTGTGCAGAAGTGGCTGCATAGTATGGCTCAGTCCTAAGGAGGGCCCTTCCCCAGATCTGAGGCCATATCAGCCGACGCCTTTTTTCGTGGGGCGGGGCGTGGACGCGTCTAACCCGCATGCAATAGGACATGCTCTCCTTCAGGTCCACGTCAAGGATCACTCAAGTGCAGTGCCTTGCCTCGCATCCTGTATCGTGACGATGGTGGACGAAGGGGGATAGCTGAGGCTGAACTGTGGCTGTTTATAACGACAAACAAGTTGACAGCACCCTGAAAGAAAGGCACGGACTTTAAGACGATAGAAAAGCACTAGTGTGGAAACCCATCTGCGTGCAATGGCAGTAAGACCGGCAGAGTGCAAGGGCTTTCCAACACTAAGAGAGTAACAAGGAAAGTCATGTCGATCCCAGTGCAATGTTATAATAACTTGGGGTGTAACGACCATGTCAAAGGTTTACTGTTTAAGATGCGCAAGCCAGACTTGAGGTGAGTTGCCATTTTCTAAAGCTGCAAGAGCTTGTATGATCATAGCCTTATCGTGAGCACTGTGGGCCTTAAGGCGACAGAGAAACCACAAACAGAGGAACATACCGAAGCAACACATTGCACCAAAAATGCCTACCCCCACCCACTCTTTGAAGAAGGAAAAAGCAGAAGATATCCAATCGGTGAATTGACCCAAAGTCACGGGATCGACACGGGTACTGTTCAAGACAGCTATCTGGGTTAGTTGAGACTGGATCATGTCTTCCGCTGCCATGGACCAATTTCCGGCCAAATATTCGCCAATGATGCGGGAGGCATTCCTGGAATCATTAAATCTGTCAGAGGTTATGCATAAATGTGCACGTTGATCAATACAACCCAAATGTACTAGGTCAGACAATTCCTCAACTTGAGCTTCAAGCAGATCTATCCTTTGATTAGCAGCTAGAATGCCAGATTAAATGTGTTGATTAATTCTACTTTGAGATTCAAGTATGGTGGATGTTTGTTGAATAACCTGATTAATAGTGGCAGCAGTTTGTACCTGGCTGGCCATGGCTACTCCAGCTGTAACTGCTGCAGCAGCAGACACTGCCACAGCTGTCACTATAGCTGCCGTAATTCCAAAATCTCTACGGGCTCTAATCAGTTCAGCAATAGGAAATGACTCTGGATCCGCAGTAACCGGGATCGGGACAAAAGTTGGAATTTTCATAATCACTGCCGTAGTCCAGGAGCCATTCCAACACTCAGACAAATAACAGGTAATATTAGAGCAATTAAGCATCCCCTGTGATGTATCATTAGCCAAAAGAAACAGGAACGGAGATTGGAGACAGACTGCTGCGGAGGGTAATGTAGCATTAAACAATTGTGAATTGTGTGAAGTAATTTTAAGTCTCCTACCTCGCTCCGAGTCTTGGGTACTGCCAGAAACATTAAACAGCCAACTTTGGACTCCTAATATTTCCCTGGGGAAACACAAGCGCGGACTATACTAGCCCAATCTGAGGGAGTCATGCAAAATCTAGTAAGTCCCTCCACCTGAGTGAGAGTGAAAGCGGCATCTATGCCATAAGTGCGGACAGATTCCGCCAGGGTCTTCACAATTTTAAAATCTAAGGGTTCATGGAATCTTCCCCTATTGTCATCCTGAAAAACTGGATAAGCAAGACCCATCTCAGCGTTAACAGCCCTCCATGTTTGGGCATGGAAAGCTCTCCCCGAAACACCCCCACCATACGGCGGTGGATCCGGGGTATCGCTTTTCTTGAGCCCCTGTTTATTTCTGTTCCCTTCTCCTATAGCTAAACTCTCTAGCTGACGAGACAGCCTCCCGAGCTCTTCCTCCTCATCCTCCTCTTCCTCTGACCCACTTTCACATGGGGGTGTGCGCAGCGTACTGAGATCTGGATACAATCGTCTCCTCCCCTGTTTCACGCTCCGCACACTCCCATCCTCCTGAGGCACCTCACTTCCTGCCGTCTCCGATTTCTCCTCATGTAATTGCTCTAGAACTTCCTGTCCTTTAGTAAGTGCTTCCTGACATCTGCCATCTGTAAGGCAACTACGGACCATTTTCCAAAGGGGTATCACCCCACCCTCTAATATGCCCTGCTCAGAAGCAAAGTCAAGATCTTTGCCTAATTTATCCCAACTAGGAATCGTTAGACTCCCTGAAAAAGCAAACCAAGGAGCCGCTATATCAGCTTCCCTCAAAAACCTTTGCAAAGTGCTCTGCTTTACCTTAAGTCCTTTTGAACGTAGCAACCCATCCAGGGCCAACAAAATTGGGCTTGAAGAAGCAACACCCATGACACAACAACAAAAGAAGCACAAAAAACAAAAGCGAAATGACACAACAAAAGAAACACAGAAAACAAAAACAAAAGTAGAAGCGAAAGTACACAGTGCAGCTGCAATAAAATGTAATGCTCTCTCTTTCTTTACAGAGGAGCTGCCCCGCTTTGGTCGCGGATCCCACTTACCTGGGACTAACCCCGCTTTGATCGCGGATCCCACTTATTGGGACTAACCCCGCTTTGGTCGCGGATCCCACTTACCTGGGACTAACCGGTGCACCACCCCTGACTGCTGAAAGTTCTGGTTCCCGGGTTTCGGCACCACTTGTCGCGACCCCTTGCCCGCAAGGAAGACACAACTCAGGAATCTTCTTTCAGCAGTTTATTCAGGCCCTTGATATTTCTTCTTCTCCCTCTCGGATGCCCCTCCCAGCCTTAATAAAGCATCTCAAGCCCCAATGCGAAGCTGCCACGTGGAGCTTTCTCATAGGGTGGTGAAAAACCACGCGCCAACTCTCCCAAATAAGGAGTTGTTTGTCACAGACCACAGCGGAGCCAGCGCCATCTTGTAATGGCGACCATAGTCTGCAGAAACGGCAGAAGCGGCTCACCACACATCCCCTCAATCACTTAATGGAAATCTGGTGCACACATATGAGCAGTGGTAGATTTGTGATGGCAATGGTGTTCTAGTTGGTGGTATGTGACAAGAGGGAAACCAGCCGTTGGGAAACTATATACTTCATTAATTTAATAAATATGTGCAATTTCATAGAAATATTTTCTAGAATAAAACTTGCATATTTCATCTGATTGGTCTTGGGCATCTTATAATGATGGACTCCATTTAGGAGGACCTAATTCTCTCCAGGGTAGAGATTTTTTTTCAAAATATGATAATTATTAGGAAAACTTTTCTTTTTGGAGACTCATTAAATTTAACCTAACACTCTCAGTGACTGCCTTCAGGGTCATTTTGAAACAGTTAAATTATAAATTGTGTGCTTTTTAAAAGTCAAACCCAGATATAGCTTACTGAATAATATATGTTGGGCTTTAAAAACTTTTTTCTTTTAAACACTGCATGCTGTATGAGTTTCATGGTTGAAAAACAAGGAAAAATATAGTGAAATTATAATCTGAAATATATCAAAGTTTAGCTGTAGTAACAAATAAAAATATTTATGTGCTTTGAATTTTTAGAAAATTTTTAATTGTTAATACTTACTAAATTTTTAATGTCGAGATCAACTGTATTCCTTTGGACCCAATCATCAGTTTGCTTTCTTTCTAGTAAAAAATTGAAAATGAAATATGTAAGAAAAGTCTTTTTTTATTAAAGTCTGAATAATAGGAATTACAAATGCTCAAGTAATATATTTATGTTTCCGTATGTTTTGAAAATAGTAGAAATTAATTGATGGTTCCTCTACTTAATTAGAACTTAAGTTTGCATTCTATGAAACCATTCAGTTGTGCAGTGCTGTAGTTCACAGTGTTCTGGTGATAAATGATATGGAATAGCACGTGTTCTCACAAATGACCATTTTCAGTTTCTTGGCAGCACAGAAGTGGAGCAGCCGAAAGGAACAGAAGTTGTGAGAGATGCTGTAAGGAAACTAAAGGTAAGGAAACTCCTTTAATTAATGCCTAGTGTGTGTGGAACCTGTCATGTTATCACAGATTGATGGAAATAAAAACAGAAAATGTTTTGTGGCAGGGATAGCTTCTCACTGGTAAAAATTAGCTATTGAATAAATACTACCAGACCAAGGAGACATTTTTAAATAATAAATATGTACACACAATTATTTTTCTTTATACAGCACATTGTATTTTGTACAGTGTTAATTTCTCATAAGCCCTAAAATCTTTAGTGGCAGTATTTCATAAGGGTCGACATATAGTAGCTTGACTTCACTTTGCTTGGACAATGCCCTCACTCAAAAACTGGCAATAATATAGCAATCCAAGGCTGATTCATAGTGGGGTAGGGAGAGGTGGCGTGGGAGGAATAGAGAATAGGGCAAAGGGGAAGGGAAGGAGGTATGGAGTTATTAATGATGGTGGAATGTGATGGACATTATTATCCAAAGTACATGTATAAAGACACGAATTGGTGTGAATATACTCTGTATACAGATATGAAAAATTGTGCTCTATATATGTAATAAGAATTGAAATGCATTCTATTGTCATATATAAACAAAAAATTAATAAAAATTCTAGAAATAAAAAAATATATATTGCAATCCATATCCACCAGTCAGCAATATGCACTTAGAGGTGATTGCAAAGCAGAATTTTGTAGTGACCCTGTATATTGTGCAAATATAAGAGATTAGGCCATGCCCATGAGCAGCTATAGAGGAACTGGTAAGAATCATAGGGTAGAGGAGGACATTGAATAGAGGCCCCATAGACTCAACACAACAAGATTCCTGAGAAAATCTAAACAAAACTGTACATTCATAATCAACAAGTTTCCCGAGAAAATCAGAAGTAATTCCACATATTCATAATTGATATTTCCTTAGAACAATATTATGTAAGATGCCACACTACATGTTTATCTAATTGCTTCTCATCTGGATACTGTTCTCACTGAGATTTTAAAATCAGAAAAACTATTTCAACAGACTTCTCATCTTTATCTTGTTAAAAATACCTATGTATTACTTCTTTCTTCACATGCTTGAATGAATAGGATTTACAATAAGATAAAAATTATGTAGTGTAGTTTTAAAATGTATACCTAATTGACAGTAGCTTTTGTCTCTCGAGTGTCTTCAAGAACAATTATATGTTTAATACGTAATCTTTACTCGGTTGATTTCAAAAAGTTTGTATCTCAGGAAAGTGTACCAATAAAGATTCGTGCATTAATGATAATGAATAAAACAATAAATTTGAACTATTTTATTGTAAGTTTTAATTTATCTATATTTGAGGTCAGAGCTACAATTCAAATTATACCAAAGATATTTGCACTTATTTTTAAAAAGTTGATCCTGTTGACTTTTAAATTTTGTTGACATGTAAATGCCAGCAGGTGGTGCTATGACTCTACCAAAAAATTCTGCTTAACTGCCTTGTGTAAACAGCCCCATTTTAATTTCTTGCTTGTTTTTCTCAAACATATATACTCTGAATGATTTTTGAAATCTGTTGTAGTTTAGGATTTGACTGCATTTGACACATAAGGTATCGTTTTATTTATATTTACTTATTTTTCAAAAGTTTGCAATGTTAAATATATTGCCTTCTAACATTAAATAAGAATTCTAAATTTAATTCAAGCTGATCAAAACTAAGGATTTCAATAATCTATTTTTCATGTTTCTTTGTTTCATAACATCTGCTTAGTTTTTGAAAAATTTTAAGCAATTTTTTATATAGAATTTTATGTCAATGGAGATTTAGACTTTGTAAGTTGTTCTTAAACGTAATAATTTTTGTTAAGTATTGGAGTCTTTACTTTTGGAAGCTGTATTTATGAATACAACATACTTTCTATTTCTTAATCATGTAATTTCTATTTCTTAATTGTTTTTTAGCCTGAGATTTCAAAATATTCCAAATATTTTGAAATGTAATAATTTAAAACCCTTTCAGTTCCTATGTGTTTACTTATATAATTATTGTTGTTATTATACTGAATTACATTTTCAATAGTGATTTATCTAGTTGTTTTGTTAACACAACTAGCATAAATATCAGAGGTCTCATATTTCATAAACAATTTATAATGTTTACTTATGAATGAGTACTGAAATACAGATTCAAAACTTGTCAGTTTTCCTAGGAGATAACCATGGGGTGGCATTCCTGAGCCCCAATTTTAGAGGAAAAATCCTCACTTTGGTGGAGCTGCACTGATATTATATGAAGTTACTTCAAGGTAATATGGCCTTTGGGATTCACTGTGGAGTCCTGTTAATCTCAGCCCAGCAGTTTTTCCATTCAACCTCACTCTTTCTGTGCAGCATAACTGTTTTATCTTTGCAACTAGTATTTAACTAATAAAAGGTTTAGAGATTCATCATATTATATACAAACATAGCTGATTTCCCCACTCAATTATTATGAATACTTTAATAATTTAAATATAACAAACAACAGAAGTGAATAGTAACTCAGAATAATAGGCTCAAAGTATAAACTGATTTTTCTTGCCACAAAGTGTATGTTTCATTAGTAATATGGTCAAGATTTCACTTTTTAAAAAGTCCTTTGAGAAATAGAAATTCTGTAAGGGTGACATTGAAGCTCAGGGCTCCCTTTAAATTTTCTTTAGCAGTTCTACTTAGTAATATATATTTAACTAAGTACTTCATACATTTCAGGCAAAACTTCATCATTTCTCATCGTTTTTGATGAAAAAGGTTTTGTTGTGTTTTTGTTGTGTCCAGATACTATTCAGTATGTGTAAGCCTCATCCCCTTTGACTGTTTATATTAGATTATCATATTAAGTTTTAGTGGTAGATCCTTCTAGGTAGCTAGCTCTACCAAGAACCAAACCCACTGAAGAAATAATGAAAAGAAATGGCAAAATCACTCTTACAGTAAATAGGGGGAAGAATTTAATGTAAGATGGGTTTATCAGCATGTCTTTCAATGTCTTCTGAAACTTCAAACTTAGAAATACTTGGGAGCACAATTAAGAAGTCTACAAGTAGGAAAAAAGGAGCAGAGTCAGAGGGGAATATGCACAGTGGAGAACACAGGAAGCTTAAGTTTTAGGAAAAAGGAAACAGGAAGGAGAACATTAGATTGTTTAGAATAGAAGTTGAAAAACTCTTAAGCATAAGGGTTTTGCAGCATATTTTCATCAATCAAGTCCAATAACCAGTATAAACCTTGATATACATGAAAACAGAGCTGTGAATTTTATTTTTTAAATGCAGAAAACGTGCACTAACAAGAAGGATAGTTGGGTGCCCATCTGGAAAGGTATGTTCTAGGCTTAGTTGCTACAAACCCATTTTATGACCAAGCTACATAACTTCTCAGGGACTTTTCTCATTTTTGAAATGGTAAGATTGGGTTGGATGATCTCTGAAGCTGCTGTGAGTACCATTACTTATCTTGATGTGAAGCAGAGGGAAAGATTCAGGAACTTGGAGGCAGATGTTTTCTGTTTTATGCTCTCTCCTTCCTTTTCCTCCCTGCCTTTCTTCCTTCTCACCCCTCGTGTGTGTGTGTGTGTGTGTGTGTCTGTCTGTCTGTCTGTCTGTGTATCATCAGGCCCTGCTTCCTTCCTTCCTTCCATTCTTCTTTTTTTGCCTTACTGACAACTAAGTTTAATATTACTGTTCGTTTTGTGGTGGACGTTTTACAAAATAAAAAGTTGCACAATTCTCAGCAGAGGTCAGAGGGATGGTTGTGTCCAGATGTGGAAGAGGCCTGGGGAGCCACTGTTACTGTGTTTGGAAAAGACAGAAGGGAGGAAGCAAGTAGAATAAATGGTTCCACAGCCAGCAGTTGGGACTTGCTTTGCTTAGACAGATGCCTCCACATAGACGCAGAGCAGCTGATTTGTTTTGTAAGCTTTTATATGTGAAAACTCCTGAATTGTTTGATGATGCCAATTTACGTAGGAAATGGTGAAGGGAAAAGAAAATTAATGCAGATTCTCTAGGATAGAACTGGAAGAATTTTTGATCTTCATTAAAGAGAAACACATTTCTTAAAGACAAAAAAGAAAATTATCTGGTACAAGTTAGTTGATTCATGTGTAGAATGTGAGCATTCCAGACGCAGAAAAAGCAAAAAGAAAGAGCAGGCTACATCCATAGAACAGGAAAGTCAGTAAGCTGAACAGTTATACCACCTAACAAGGGAAAAAACAAATGGTACCCCCTGGTATATGAAGGCAGACACTTCAAGGCATTCATATATGCATTAATTATGTTACTCTCCATGGCAGTGCAAAGCTGTGCACAGAGAAAAAGGCTTTTAACCACTCCCTGCTCCAGGACTGAAAGATACCATGTGTATTCACATCTGCCCTAAATTAGGGTGAAATGCGCAATGCAAATAAATATGACACAAAGAGGACTGGAGCTCTGCCTGGCCTTACAGATTATCTATTTTGAGTCTATTAGGAAGAGTATCCAGATGCTGAAAAAATGTTAAACTAGAAAATAACTTTTGGAAGTCCTAGAAGAGGGGTGAGAGAAGCTATTTTAAAAAATCTCATTCCTTTCTTAGAAAGAAAGGTGAAGGGACCAAGGTGAGAAGGAAAGGAAAGAGACAGTGAGGTTGCCAGATGAATCAGAACACCCAATACATTTTAATTTCAGATAAACAATGAATAACTTTTTAAAAACGCCAGTGTGTTCTAAATTATTGCCTAAAAATATTTATACTTAATAGCATACTTGTTATTTGTGTTTTGGGATATGTGTATGAGTGTGTGTATGTATTCTCAAATAAAGTTCTAAAATATATGCACTATTTAATATTCACATTTAACTGGGTTCCTGTACTTTTTACACCAATAAATCTGGTAAAGCTGGAAGAAATTAGATATTAGAAACTGCATCTACTAAGTAAATGAGTATTCTGATATTTCTTTTTGATTTTATAGTAGAACCTAACATACATTTATATACATTTAACTAACTCAGTACAAATATATAATAAATACTATTCTGAAAGCACTTAAAATATTTCTTGGACTGAGGATGTAGCTTAGTAGAGCACTTGCCTTGTACATATAAGGCCCTGGGTTCAATATCTACTACAAAAAAAAAATGTGAAAATTGTTTTCTAGCTGTTCACTATGCCTGTAATTCTAACCTGAATCTAGATCTACATTTCAGTGTTTTAGCTGGTACTTACCTCAGTTCTTAGCTTTGACTGTGATATAACAGTGTGTCTCTTTTTGTTCAACAATTTGGTATTGGGTAGGGTAGTGCACCAAACTAGGTAACTATCTAGCAATAACAAAGATGGCATATCCAACAGTTGATGGACTGCAAGTTCTCTCAAGCTATTAAAAGCAAAGGATCCACAGGAAAGCAAAATTATCTCTATTTATCAAGGAAGTTTTCTCAATTGTTTTGTATGAATTCAATTTTCCAAATATCATGAAAGAAGTACATTAGAAAATCATGTTTTCATAAAGTTACTGAAAACCAATCTGAATTATAATGGTAAAGTGCTGAGATTACTAAATACTTTGAGATTATTTTTACAAAATGCTTTATAATGGGCAATAATTCATTTAATGAAAATCTGACATTGAAGAAAACTTGTGTATTTGTGTTCATTCTCCACAAAAACAGAATTAAGTTTTTTATGAATAATTTTTATTTGTAGTTTGCAAGACACATCAAGAAATCTGAAGGCCAGAAAATCCCTAAAGTTGAGTTGCAAATATCAATTTATGGAGTAAAAATTCTAGAACCCAAAACAAAGGTAAGGCTTATTTTTGCACATCAGAGCATTCTAATGTTTAATTAATTGTAATTTATATCTGTTTTAATGAATATTTGAAATTCATTACTGATGAACCTATTATTTCTCAGTGGTGATTTAAAACTCTACAGGATCTTTAGAGGGGAAAAACTTTTGGAGTTTTCTTTCTGAGTAGTCTGTTCTTCAGCCGGTGTTTGAGATGCAATAACTTATACTGAATGTATTCAACAGCACTTGCACTTATATTTAGAAATTCTTCTTCGAGTGATATGAAAAAAGATGCACCCAATGTGCTTCACTGGATATGGAAGAAGAGAGGCCTCAAAAACAACAAACCTACTGACAACCTAGTCTTGGACTTCTAACCTTCAGAAGTGTGAAAAAATTAATTTCTGTTATTTATGGCACCTGGACCATGATATTTGGTGATGGCAGCCTTATTAAGCTAATATAATAGCTTATTCCCAGTGCCTCTGAATTATTTAATAATTTTGTAGACCGTGATTGGAAAAGTTCATTAAAATTCAACTCCAATCATTTTACAAATTCAAATTGTCAGTTTTTCTCTATCACTGTAGAATACTTATTGAAAAATTAATTCAGTTATAAAGGCAAAAGAAACCCAGCCCATGAACAGACTGTGAAATTTTTTTTCATGGGTCTGAAACTTTTAGACCACAGCCCAGCAGATGCCATTGGTACCTTCACCTATGTGAATACTAGCTTCCAAGAACTCAAAGTACAGTCTAAGATCCAGTAGCACTATCATCCAGACCCACTGAATATGTAATCCACAGTTTATGGAAAAACCTGGTAATTCCTGTGTGCATTGAGGTTTGAGGAGATCTGGTATAGTGCATGTGCAGTAGGCCTCATTTTCAAATTGTAGTCCATGGAATACCTGCATGAAAATTGCCTTGAAGCAGTTGCAAAAATTAATTGTAAGGTCCCATGTGATCCTATGGAACCATAATCTCTCAATGTGAAAATTTTGCATTTGTAATGTTTAAGAACAACGGGACTATAACTTGGATACACCCACAGTTACTCTTATTCAATTCCATCTTAAAGAGCAATGGCATTCCTCCAAACTTTTTCAAGACATGGATTTAAGACATCTCACAAATAGACCATCTAATCTAGGATCCTTCTATTAGCCATCCTCAATATTAAATAGCAACAAAGACATAGAGATTTTACTTAAGTTATAGCTATGCCAAAGTAACTGCTGTGGAAGTCGCGAAGAAAGGAATTGGTAAAAGGATAATGGAAGAATGATTGAAGCACATAATGAAATATGTGTAGTCAGCTCTGAAATAAGGCAAGTGACAGTGATGCTTTATCTTTTGAATATGTGAATGAGCTGAGAATATTCTTTGGGCAAATAGTGGTTATAAAAAAGTCAATATAATGAGGAAACAATTAGTTACAGAGGGTAGTGCAGCCAGAAGTATAGTAACCTAGGTGTAGTTTTACATGTAATCAAAAAGAAAAATGATCCTCTTCCTGCATTTCCTTTTTAAAATTAAATGGGTATATCCTGGCACACATCCATCCAGAGTAGGTCATTTGGAGCCCATGTGTGTGTTGAAAGTTTTCTTCTAAACCCTATAAATTGTGTAGCTGTTTCAGTGTATGTGTATATTTGTGTGTGTATGTTAATTACTTTTTAATTAAATTTTTATGTCCTTGTTTGGAACTTATCAAAGCACATCTTGAAATATAAAATATGTAGTGTCAATAATGTGCACTTTATGTGCCATTTTCACATGTTCTTTTTTTTTTTTTTTTTGATTCAGAACTAACATGGTGTATTGTAGGCTACAAAATTTTCCCAAATGCATACACGCAGTCTATGCACTATAATCTACTAAATGGTTCTCTTATTATTAAAAATTTCAGGAAATTCAAAATATTCAATTTATATAAAATATAGGTATTTAGAAAATACAAATATGGATTTATTTAGTTTTTAGAATTGACACTTTAATAACAGTGTGTCCTCAGACAAGTACAAAATATAAAAAAATTAAAAACTATAAGATGACTGCCACTAATACCACATGTGTGGGAGTCTGTCTATATGTAAAGATAGATCATGTGAATGCAATGTGGCACATTGCTACCCTCAGATAAGTGAAGAGCATATGGGTATGCATTGCAACTTTTTCTTTTTTAACTAAACCTATTATTTCCTGTATGACTTCATATGACCTTTTATAAAACAGTATTTTATTCAAGTGAAAGGTGTGTGAAAAGTTAAGACCTTCAAACAAGATGCAGTGGCATTTGACTAATCCCAGCTACTCTGGAAGCTGAGGCAGGAGGATCACAAGTTTGAGGCTGGTCTGAGCATCTTAGCAAGACTTAGTGTCAAAATTAAAAATACTGATTTTAATCTCCAGTATCATCAGCCCATTCTGCTAGCATATTGATTTGCTTTTTATTTCTTGGCTTCCTGACCATTTGGGAAAACCTATTGTAAAGCTCATTAACCAATAATTTAGGGTTTGCCAAGCTATTTGTTTTAGCTCCTCTCTTAATCTTTGTGTTTCTCCTGGAATGCAGAAAAAAAATTTTCCTAAACTTGTAAATGTAAAACTAGAAATTACATTTAAAAAAATCATATGGGTGATATTGTAGAGCAAAGAAAAAAATAATGCAAATAGTCTTAAAAATTCTCATGGATTTAAAAATTTTTTACTGGTGATAAAGAAACAAAGGCAAAAAATGATAAGAAACTGGGTGATTGCCATCTACCATTTTTATTGTTGAAAAATCATATTTCCAAATTTCTTCTAATAAGGGTAGCCTATCAATCATCATTCTGTTCTCTTAAGTTTTTACTCTCAAATCTCCATGCCTCCCTCATCTAAATTCCATTTATAAAATATCAGTTACATGGGGTTCAACTCAACAGCATTAATCAGTTGATCTTTTTATGTTGTTATTAGGTCAATGGAGTTGTTCATAATAGTGGGGTTCATTTTGACATAAAATAAATATGTATAAAACATAGATCCTCAATCCCAATCCCCAGAGTTTTCCTATCCCTTCTTTCCTTCCCTCTGATCCCTTTCCTATATTGTACTGGTTTTCCTTCTGTTTATCTATTTTTTTTAATTGGTGCATTATAGGTATACATAAAAGTGGAATTCATTTTGAGGTATTCCTATATGCACATGTTTGTTAATTTCTTTCCACAATTGCTTGCCTTACATAACCCTCTTTCCTTCCCCTTAATCTCCTTCCTTTATTCTACTCTTCTCCTTTTTGTCACGATATCTTCCACTTCTTGTTCTTCCCCTTATTTCTTTCTAATTTCTGCAAGAAAGGAGACATTCAGCCCCCAACATCTGAGTCTGGCTTATTTCACTTAGCATGATATTCTTCATTTCCATCCCTCTACCAGCAAATGACATAATTTCATTCTTCTTTATGACTGAGTGAAACTTCATTGTGTAAGAATACCCTCATAATCAGTGTAAGTCAAATCAAAACTACACTGAGATTTCATCTCACTCCAGTTAGAGTGGAAATCCTTAAGAATACATATAGCAATAATTGCTGCAGAGGATGTGAAGTAAAGGTTCACTTACCATTGCTCATAAGCCTGCACATTAGTTTAATCACTTTGGAAAGCAGTGTGGAGATTCCTCAAAAGGCCAAGAATGGAACTGCCGATGTCCCAGCTATCTCCCTCCTTGGTACTTATCCAAATGTAAATTGGAACAGAGACCCCCACCCAGAAGACTCTGGCCATAATTAAGCTTCTCCTCTCATCAGATTTTTACAAAGAGTATCAGCAGAATGTCTGCAAAGGGAATTGTGGTTTGAAGCTTCCTCTTTCTTATAAATGCCAGGTTTGCACACAAAAGGTATGATAGATTTAGAATCTACAGTCAAGGTTGTTGTGCAAAAAGATATTCTCTCTGTTATCTTGGTAAAGATTTATAAGATCTCTGTCTGGTTCAAAAAGCACTTTCTGGGAACTCAAAGAAAAAAATTATTTTTATGTAAACTTCTAAGCCCCTCCTCCCACTGGATATAAAGTTCAGAGCATTTCCAAATTTCTGCCAATAAGTGTAGCCTATCAACCATCATTCTGTTCTCTTAAGTTTTTACTCTCAAATTTGGACCAAATTCTCATTATTATTATTATTATTATTATTATTATTAGTTGTTCAAAACATTACATAGCTCTTGATGGACCAAATTCTCTTGGTCCAGAGAATTTTAGGTGACAACCCCTCTGGACCAACAGCAGTGGATAAACCTGCTTCCTGAAAATTTCTTGGGTGTCCAGCTTCTTCTGTCCTACTTCAAAGAACTAAAATCAGTATACTCTACTAATATAGGCATACCAGTATTTATAGAGGTGTAATTCACAATAGCCAAGTTATAGAACCAGCTTAGGTGCCCATCAACAGATGAATGGATAAAACCAAGACTTATAATTATTCTATATGACCTTACTCAAATCAATAATGCCAATTTTATTTCCTATTCAAAACTCTTCATTTCTTATACTTAATAGCTATTTTTAAAGAGCTTCAATTGTATTTTTCTCCCCAAAACTGAATTTTCTAAGCTTTGAATGGGAAAGAAGCATCTGAAGTTCTATTCCCAAAAAATATGAAGAATAATCTCGGAGTTTTAAGATCTTTGAGATGATATGTATGTTCAATTATACTACCTATGAATATATAATAAGTGACTTTTACTCAGATATTGCATATGAGTATATTGTATCTTACTCTTTACTCATATATGTAAAGTATTTCTTTCTTTCTTTTTCTTTTATTCCATTAAGAAATGAAGGTAAGCCGTGTAGTGGTGCACAACTGTAATCCCAGCAACTTGGGAGATTAAGGCAGGAGGATCTCAAGTTCAAAGCCAACCTCAGCAATTTATAGAGTTTCTGAACATCTTAGCAAGACCCTGTTCCAAAGTAAAAAATGAAATGGACTGTGGATGTGACTCAATGGTTAAGTGCCCTGGGTTCGATCTCTGGTACAGAAAAAGGGATTTACAAACTCTGCAGACCCTTAGTGTCCCAGGGCACACTAAAGAATGTGGAGTGACTGCTGCAGTCTGCTTGGGCATTTTAAATCTGCAGAAAAAGGACAGGTGTGTGAGTGGAGAGCAGAAGAGGGTGGAACAAGCATGCTCCAGGGAACTTCAGTACGGCCTGTTCACACACATGTACTTAGAAACCACACCACACCAGGGAGACATGAACGGACCAGAAAAAACACCCTGTCATTCATTTCATTTTAGGTCTATGTTTTATATTTTTAAGAAAAAAAATCATATATGAAACTTCTAAAATAAATTTGTTTATAGTTAAATGTGTGAAGCAGGATTTTAAAACATTATAGAAAATATAATATTTTTCTTTCCCAATTGAGAGGGCAAAATGGAACCCAAAGCAATCTAACACCTGACTCCTATATCCTTTTTATCGGTACCTTGTCTTTCTCCCTTTCTCTTTTCTTACTCATTTTCCTGATGAAGGTTATGTGATGTGGGAAGCATGTGGTGTAGATGACTGGGGCTAAGATGTTTATTCATTTGTTTTTTGTTTCAACTCCATTGAAATAGTATTAAAGGATATGTGTGTCTGCACTGTGGCTTGTTGTTTTCCTGGTTTTTTAAATCCCATTTTACCAAAAGTAATGCTACATTAAATATCCATAAAGATCTATCACAGTAATAGCAAAACAAAAAACAAAAATCTCAAATACCTCAAAAATAAGGAACTTACAAGTTTCAGCTCCCTAATCTTCTTTTGTTGGAAGATACCTTTGCTAACACAAATATTAGGATGATTTCACACTGTTTATAACTAAGGCTTTCTGTTCATACTGGTTGGTGGATAAATAAAGCACATCCTAGACTTGACCACCTGCTATATGAATGGTGTTTTGCATTTTCCTTGTCATTTCTCTTTAGAATAATTTTTCTATATGGCATGGCAGTGATGTTGCCTCTTCATGTACCATTAACATTATTATGTAGTTATTAAAGTGATGTAGACCTAGTGATCATTGTCAATCTAAGCACAGACTACAAGGAAAAGCCTATGTGATTAATATGTATCAATTGAAAAAGAATTAAATTCATCCACATTATATCTTTTGCATTGCTGTTACATTAACATTTTTTTTGAACCAGTGATTGAACTCAGGAGCACTCCACCACTGAGCCACAGCCACATCCCCAGCCATATTTTGTATTTTATTTAGAGGAAGGGTCTCAATGAGTTGCTTAGCACCTCACTTTTGATGAGGCTGGCTTTGAACTCTGGATCCTCCTGCCCCAGCCTCCTGAGCTGCTGGGATTACAGGTATACCCAGCTATATTAACAAATCTTTTGATTTTTCTGTATAAAAAAGCCTATATAAGTTGAACCTTCTCTTCAAAGCTGTTCCTCTCAACTGTTGACATAGACATATGAGCTATCTAGTAATACTTTACAAGCAAACACTATTCTTTCTCTTTTAATTTTCAGGCTTGCCAAGAAATTCATTGGTGGTTTACTATTTGGTTTACATCTAAGGAAAAATGCAATGTTGTTGGCAAATTCTCTTAACATTTCTTTATCTTTCTCATTTTGTATGCTAATCTTTAGTCTGATGAACAGTAATGCAAATCAGAATGATAGATCAAATCTTAACAAGCTGACATATCAAACTCTGAGCTTGAGAGGATAAGAATTTTTATTACCTTAGTGATATTTATTTTGATCAAAATCTCTGAGATTCTGATTGATCTGGGTGAAGATGAGGCAAGTGTTTGCAATGGGCAACCCAGGTATTTGTCCTAAGGGTAGACTGAAACCACTTTTAGAGAAACATTACTAAAATGAGGTTTTCTAAGGGGACATTCACTTGTCTTTCTTGGCTGAAACTATAGTTGCTTCCATCTGTAATCATGTACAATACCCAGTAAATAATACAGGTAGCCTGACTTTCTGATTCCTATTCCTAGTACTGTAACACATTCTGGGAGGAAAAAGATACTAAGAGCCACAGTAGGTTTTTTTACTTATTTACATCATTCATAATTAAATAAATAGATAAGTTTTTTTTTCTTCACCTTCAACATGTTTCAGAAAACTGTGATAGATAAATAAATAATATTGATCTATTGGAATGTAAGTATATAAGTAGTATTGAATACTCAATTTTTGAATAAATAATAGTATTGTAAAACATTATTATTTAATTATATATTTTTTTTACTTTAATTAAGTACGTTCTGATGTTTTGCATGAGTTTTATAATTCACTATTTGTGTTTATGTCTGTATGTGTGTGCACTTAGTGTACTGCAGCTCTACGTCTGGTTGCAGTTATTTGTCTTTCTACCAATTAGCAGGGTTTATGCAGTCATTTGAAGCCTCTCCCATTGAGAACATTACATAATTTGCAAGGTTGACCTACCTAGACATAAACAGTTCAGGAGTGTATGAATAACTATGAAGATATGCAAAATAAAATTCAATTAAAAAAAACTAGGAGTGAAAATGGTGGTATGTTCTGGGTGAAATTTTTCTCCAGATGAGGTTATGTTCTAATTGTAATGCTAGTTAGTAGCAATGACATAAAATGAAAAGAATTTGGGATTAAAAAAAAAAAAAGGTTAGGCTAATTCTTTTTTGAAGTATCTTAATCTCTTTGAGCCTCAAAGTTCTCCTGTATAAACATGAAGGATTTAAAGTATATGGTCTCTTAAGATGCTTTGAAGCTCTGGAAGTCTGTGGGACTCAGATTCTCTTATATTCTTGTGTTTTTTTGAGTACTATTGAAATGAATATCTTAGTTTAATCCTGAGTCAGAAGGTTCATCTACATTGCATGTTTGTTTAAATTTGGGGTATATGTAATTGTTAAACTAAAGCTTAACAGATGATTATTACACTTTTCAAGTGTTAAGTTATATGTTATTAACACATGCTGGTGTTTCAGAAAATAGAAAAAAAATTGCCATCAACAGTATTTATTTCCATCTGTGTTCACAGGAAGTCCAACACAATTGCCAGCTTCATAGAATATCATTTTGTGCAGATGATAAAACTGACAAGAGGATATTCACTTTCATATGCAAAGATTCTGAGTCAAATAAACATTTGTGCTATGTGTTTGACAGTGAAAAGTGTGTAAGTATGCCAGATGTTTTAGGGTGGTTTGTTCCATTTTACAAGCCAGGAATTGCCTTGTTTCCGACATTAATAAAGTATTTGGAAGTGAATAAGGTCTGTAAATACTTAAGTACACTAATAGATTCATCCTGTCATGAGAATATCCTTCAGGATTTCATCTTTAACTAAATTCTTATGCTCATGAGGAAAAGCTTGCATGCAAATTTCTTTTGTTAGAACAATAGTCCTACTTGTGCTGTGCATTTATATCTCTTGTAATCAGTCATTTGTAATTTTAATCTCAAAAAATATTTAGCAATATGGACATAATGCAAAGAGTAATGGTGAGAAACTATTTTTTGTTGTTTTTTTATTTTTTTTAAGTCTTCCTGGAATGTGATAGATTTCATGAAGAATAGTATTCTAAGGTCCATGAAATAAAATCTGCATGGCTCCTTTAAAAAATTCTCTAATACCTTAAATATTTGGTTCTTGATGTCTGTAATTCAGATATTTAATGTAATGAAAGGTAGTAATATTTTGTGTACATGTGAGTGTGCTTGCTTTGAATTTAATCTAAAATTCTTAGTAAGGCCAGTTAGGCTATTCCAAGAGGTAAATCAGGCAACCATTCATCAATTATCTGGAATCTTAAAGAAAATCCTGTGTCTTGCTTTAAAAGCATAGACTAATTCTAATCATAATCTAATCTGAGTTCTTCTATGAAACTTAAAATATGTGTTACAAGTACACATTGCAGTCATTTTCTTCAATGAAGGAAGAATATTTATTCTCAATATTATTGGTTTAAAAAGGACATAAAACTTAGTTGATTATTTGCTATTTTCACTCTCAAAAATAGAGTATTACTAATATTATTATCATTTTGTGTCATTTATCTCTAGTGTTAGAATGTGATCTTCTTGAGAACAAATGCCTTTCTATTTATATGTAATTTCTGCATCAGGTGGACCACAGATGCTCCATAAATTTTCCTTAAGGAAAAACTCAAGATGAAAATTTACCAAAAGTAGCTCAAGTTTTTTTTTTCTGTATCTTTTAAACATTAGTGCTTTAAAAAGGCAAGCTAATGTGCTAACCTACTTGGTATAATAATACATTTTAAGAACCAGTGGATATTATGGAATATCTCATCTGAAAAATATGATTACCCATATAAGACACTATTATATACACAAAAATATATTTTGTATGAAGCTCAAATTGCTTTTGAAATTTATCCTCTTGAATTAATGCATTACATTTACATATTTCAAGTGTTTCATAATCATGATTATTTGCAGATGTTTTTCTCTATGTGATTGGAAAGATTAAAGTTGATATTTGTTGAATATGTTCTATGTGTAAAACATAATAACCTTTACCACGTGCACTACACAATTAACTCACTTGTCTTTCCTTTCGTACCCATAGAAATACACTTCCTTGGGGTCCCCTGTAATGTTTATAATCATAATTAATTATAAATATCATACTTCTTTATATGTTTACACCACTTGTTATACCTTTCTATGATATTCATCCAAATCTTCTACTTGCTCATAAAATGTTTGCCAAAATGTATAGTCATATCTTTTAAATCGCATAGACCTTATTTCTTCTCAATCATAAATTTCTATAATTGATTACTAGAATTTCTGTTCCTTTGACCTACTATTCTTTTTGGGAATAGCATATCAAATTTCATTTTTCTTGAAGTTTGACAATTTATTAAAGTGAAAGCAGTGATTCACAACCAGTTTGTGCATATAAGAATTGTAAGAGGTGACTTTAAAATATTCTTAAGTCTCATATCAAAATATATTTTTTTTTTCAGGAAATCTACAGTTAGCAAGCAGTTGTGCTGCAGGTAGATGCAAGCCTGGGTTTTAAAAAATAAGTGTGCAAAAAATATCTCTCAAGTCACAAGTTGGTATCAGCTTCATGAGTTCAAAGAGAAATGTTTCCTTAATTTCATTGTATCATTCTCTATGAAATTTAATTGGCTCTAATTAAAATCATGAGTGTTATTTGATAGGTTTAAAAAATGTTTGATAGGCCATCCTTTCTAATTCTTATTTTAAATAGAGTATTAACATGAAAGAATAAATGATAACTTAATGGCATAATTCTTTCCTTTTATTTTAACAAATCATGGCCACAGACATTTATTTAGTTTCCCCAAGTTACAAAGCTAAGTAGTAACAGAATCTGGACAAAAATCCAAGAGTTTAGATTCCCATCACCATATTTGTCCATTCATGTTCATGAGTCTCCCTCCTTCCATGGTGAACCATCACTGAAGATGGAGTGAACCTCTGTCCCCTCCAGGGAACTATGAGGCAGGGCTTTTCAACCCTCACTTCCCTTCTGGTGTGTGTCATAGGAAACCATCAAAAACAGAAGACTTAAATAATTTCTAGAATTCATACCCTAGTAGTATCCAAAATATCCAAGATTCAACTGAGAACTTTTCTTCACACCAAGAAACAAAACCATCTTAAACTAAATGAAAAACAATGAACCAATAGATTCCCCAAACCATTATGGCAGAGATAATAGAATTATAAGACAAAAAGTTTAAAACTACCCACATAAAATGTGAGACAGTAAACAATTACAAGCACAGCTGAAGAAGTAGAAAGTCTTATTAAATAAATAAAAAACCTAAACAAAGAAATAGAAATCAGAAGAATTAGTGACTTGTAAGTCTGACAAATAGAAAATACCCATTCTAAACAGTTCAGACATAATAAGTATACACACACACACACACACACACACACCACACACACACACATATGAATGTGCCTGTCTGCATGCACACACATAGAAAGGCCCAAAAAGAAACAAAAATGAAACAGAACCTGAGAGACCTGTGGGACTGTAACATAATGTCCAACATTTGTATGTCCTTCCAGTCCTGGAAAGAGAGGAGAAAGAAGGCAGCTGTGCCTTCTAAAAGCACTCAAAGAAATAAATGGTTGAAAACTCCCCAAATTTAACAAATAACATAAACCTATACTTTTAAAAAATCCAGTGAAATCCAAAAAGTATTACTCCAAAATACTGTAATTTTGGTAGATGGATAGATAAATAGGTCCATAGAACAGAGTAAAGAACACAGAAATAAAATCACAAAAGCTATTGACAAACTGCTTATCAGACAAAGGACTAGTATACAGAACTTTTGACAACCTACAGTATAAAAATAATCAAATTAGAAAACTGGCAAAAGACTGAAAAAACATTTTATTGAAAAGTATAGAAAATTGGCAAGTAAGTGCATGAAAAGATGTTAACAATAATTATGTATTGGGGAAATGCAAACTGACATCAAAATGTGAAGTAACTTACTACAAAATTAACTTAGTACACAATTAAAGCTGCAATAAAAGTACCAAATGCTACAGACACTTGGAGAAAATCAGTTTGTCAATTTCATAGAAACTAAACATGCAACTATCATATACACTATTTGAAAAAAAATTTAAGAGAAATCAAAACTTAAAATGCTCACACAAAAACCTATACACAAAGATTTATAATAGCTTACTCATAATGGGAAAAATCTACAAACACCACAGAAAATGGCTGAATAGTTAAATACTCTGGTACATTCTAATCATGGAACACTACTGAGCAATAAAAAGGAATGAACTATGAATACAATAACAGCTCACTGATGACTCCCCAGAAAATAGGGAATGAGAAAATTCAGTTCTCAGAGCTTATGTGTTCCATGATTCCTATTCTATAGCATTCTCAAGGTTACTAAATCATAGGAATGGAAAATAGATTAGTGTTTGCCAGAAGATTAAAGAAAGTCTGAGAACAAGCTATAAGAGGGTATACGTACAAAACAACAAGATGAAAGATGGAATTTTCACATTTTGACTATTTATTGTCAACATCCTGGTTGTGATTTGTAGTAGATTTTTGAAATATGTTACCATTGGGATAACCCAGATATAGTGCACACAGGACCTGTATGTATTCTTTTTTAAATGAATCTAAGCCTAAAATGATCTCAGAATGAAAATTTTACTTAGAAAAATAAGTCATGGTCTGTTTGAACCAAACCTTTTATCTTATCTTAAATAAATACAGGCAGAGAGATTCACTGAAGTTCTGAGAATCACAAAGCTAGATAGATAGTAACAGAATCAGACCCATAAGTTTTCAGTTTCCTTGAAGTTTAAATGTTAGTATGCTACAAAACTGGAATTTCCTTTACTGATAAGATCATGTATTATTAAGTTTTAATATTTATACAACTTCTTTAGACATTTCATTTATAGTATGATTTTATGCAACTTTATTATTTTATTTTATGTAGTGCTGGGAATTGAATCCAATCCTAGTTCATGTTAGGCAAGTGCTCTACCATGGAGCTATACCCTCAGCCCATTATCTCATTAAGTTTAAAAATAATATTACATTGTTTCCAAGTATTTTTGAGGATATAATGAATGGAATAGTTTTCCTAATTTCTTTTTTCAGTAGACTCATCATTGGAGTGTAGGAATATCATTGATTTATGAGTGTTGATCTTATATTTTGCTACTATAAGTTCATTTATGAGCTTTAGAAGTCTTCTAGTAGAGTATTTTTTGGGGGAGGGTCTTCTAGATATAGGATCATGTCATGAGCAGAGATAACTTGAGCTCCTCTTTTCCTATTTGTGTCCTTTTAATTTCATTCTCTTGCCTGATTGCTCTGGCTGGAGTTTCATTAACCATGTTGAATAGGAATGGTGAAAGTTGGCATCCTTGTCTTGTTACTGTTTTTAGAGGAAATGCTTTTGGTTTTTCTCCAGTCAGTATAATGTTGGCCTTGGGTTTGTCATATATAGCCTTTACAATGTTGAGGTAAGTTCCTTTATTTCCTAATTTTTTTAGTATTTCAAATAGGAATGGGTGCAGCACTTTGTCAAATGATTTTTCTGCAACTATTGAAATAATCATGTGATTCTTGCCTTCACTCTATGGGATAAATTGCATTTATTGATTTCTGTG